TTTTTTTTAAACTAGAGAATATGTTTTACTTTGGATGTGTGGTAGCTATGTGAGTTTCATATATGTGAAAAGCAATGGAATTGTATGCTTATGATTTGTACACTTTGCTATGTTATATCTAATTGTAGAAGTCTATAAAATCAATAGAAAATACATTTGCAACTCAAAAGATGGCAGTGTTAATAACAGCAATATTCAAATATCTTACAGATTTACCAAAGGGTAACAATTTACTAGAAAGTGGGCAAAGAAAATGATAGATCAAAAATTTCAAAATCATTTATTTTGAAAAAAAAAATGCTCTGACTCAAAAATTTAAGTTCAAGGACAAGTTACTGGGAAAAGGATTTCTATTTTTGTTTCCACAGAAAATGAAAAGCTGTGGATTCCTTCCAGACTAATATGGTTTGATCAAGCCAGACCACCTGAAACAGAGTACCAAGTGATCCTACATTCAAAACAGCTGGACAAAGCATCCTTGCAGACTACAGCCAGGATTTCTGCATCTTCTTAGAATCCCCCATGACAGCGCCCCTTACCAGCAGGAAGTAGTTTGGAAAGAATGATGCCCAAATTCCCAAATATTGTCTATAAATGTTTCTTTTCATTTAAATGGACTTGGTCATAAAAAATAAATAAGTAAATAAATAAATAAAAATCATAAATGAAAAAAAATCATTTATTTTGGCTCAGCAGTCTCCCTTATATGTATTATCTTAGAGATAAATTTTCCTCATATGCTCATAGTTAAACTGTATTTGCACCCATAAAATTGATGACCTGTTCACAGATTTATTGACTATTTGAGAAACATTTGTTTGTTCCTCTTGAGCATTTCCTTATTCATCTACAATTGATTTTTGGAGTTGTTTACATAGTATGGGCATATTACTTTTGATAGATACATACATTATAAACTTTTTCTCTCGTGGGCATGTACTTTTTCATATTTAATGGTATCTTTTTGAAAACAGTGTTTATTAATGCTAATATTAAGAATGTCATCTTTCTTTTCTTTTACAATTACTCTACTTTATATAGGTTTCAAGAACTTTTGACTTATTCCACAGTTACAAACATATCTCTTATATTTGATTCCAAAAATCTCGATTTTTGTTTTACTTTAATATTTAAATCCTCAATCTATGAAGAATTTATTTATTTTTTGGGTATAAATAAAACTTTTCTCCATAAGCATATCCGAATGGTATGTTTATTGGAATCAAATAGTCTCTGTGGTGCATGCCTTTAGTCCCAGCACTCAGGAGGCAGACCAGGTGGATCTCTGTGAGTTCAAAGCCAGCCTGAACTACAGATTTCTAGTACAGTCAAAGCTGTTACACAGAGAAACCCTGTCTTGAAATACCAAAAATAAGTAAGTAAGTAAATAAATAAATCAAGTAGTCTTGTGCTACAGATAGAAGAAACTATTAACCTTTTATAATATGGGCCTTCCAGATCATGAATATGGCATGTCTCCATTTATTCAAACCTTTAATTTCCGCTCTCTTTTACTAACATTTGATAGCTCAGGGTTGAGATCTCAACACCTTTCACTTCATTTACTTTTTATGTTACTAGCACTGATCTTTAAGTTCCCTTATTTATTTATTTGTTGCTAACATTTAAATATAATTTTTGGGTGGCTGAATTTTATAGTGTAGACATTATCAAGTACACAATTACTTTTAATTTCATATTTGCTTCTTTTCTCTAACTACTCATTTTAGAGCTCATTTCTATGAGTAACAAAACTACTCTCTGCTGTCACATCACAAAGGCCACAAATGTCTTTTACTTTTGTCACTGGCATTTGATTCTGATATTCAGATTCTTCTATTTCTATTGTCTTTTGTGTCTCTGGGGAGTTTATGTTCATTCTTATGTCAAAGACATTTTCTCTTAGTTATCTCTTGAACCTTTATCTTTCTGTTTGAGACAAGCCTAACAAAAACAACAGAGCATAGCAAGCACCTCAGTTTGGTGTTGCTCTGAATGACTCTTCACATCAGAGAAGCTGAATTTACATAAGAAAGTCTCAAACCTAAGGTTCCTTCTATCTCTGATATTGTTATTTTATTGCCATACTCAAGAGATGAATGTCAGGCTTTGAAATATGACTCAATTGGTAGAGCACTTGACTTAGCATTCACGGAGTCCTGAGTTCAATCTCCAGCACTATATAAACCAGGAGTGGTGGTTCATTCCTGGAATCCCCACATTCAGCATGCTGGAAGTAGAAGTAGGAGGATCAAACATTCAAGGTCATCCTTGGCTAACTAGGGAGAGGAGGACCCAGTCTCACATAAAGACAAATTTCATAGAAATGTTTTTGGGGACCAAAGCTCACACTGTGGCATTGGATGATCAGGAGACCTCTAAGCATGAGTGAATTGGTGCATTGCCTACAGGTGCATCATCTGTGCTTCCAGATGAAATGCCATCTAGAAGTACAAGGCCAGTGTAAGGGAAGCCAGTGGCATACATAATACAGTCTAAAGGTGCTTTACTAGGTGACTTGGCCATAAACTTCTGTCTGTTTTAGATTTAGCATTTAAGCAAGGTAGGTCAGGAAAGGCAACATTTCCTAAAAAGAATAACTACAGATTAATCATTAATGCTACACGTACAAGTAAAGCTGGACTACTCTTTGGCTAAAGGCTGGTGGGAGAGAAAACAGATGAAGGGTATAAGAGAAATCCTGGTCAAAGTCCAAGTTAAAGTTTAGGGAATTTTTTTTTTTTAATGTGCACTGGTGTTTTGCCTGCATGAATATCTGTGTGAGATGCTGGATGACACAGAGTGCGGGGAATTGAACCTCTGTACTCTGGAAGAGCAGCCAGTGCTCTTAACCACTGAGCCAACTCTCCAGCAAAGTAACATCTATCCCTGGTGCATGAGCTGGCTTTTTGGAGTCCATTCCCTATGGAATGCCTTGCTCAGCCTTGATGCAGCAGGGAGGGCCTTAGTCCTGCCTCAACTGAGTGTGCCAGGCTTTGTTGACTCCCCATGGGAGGCCTTACCCTTTCTGAGGAGTGGATGGAGGTTATAATGGGAGCAGGGGGAGGGGAGGAGGGGGAACTGTGGTTGGTATGTAAAACAAATAGAAATGTAAACTAAATAAAGATATAATTTTAGGTTAAAAAAAGTTTCGTTTGTGGAAAAAAGAATTCAAATGAGTAATGTAAGAATTTTTTCAAGAAATAGGGTCATAGACTTTTTTTCTCTTTTTAATTTTTAGTGAACATAGAAGAGAATGGCTTTCCTTATAAAAAATGCATATGTGCATTTCATTTTACTCATATTTGCCCCCTCCCCACATGGCCCTCCTTCGCCTGCCACTCAGTTTTCGCCAGTCTCAAGTGAAATTACTTGTGCTGGTATTGCCTGACTTGGTGATTTATTCCTTGGTGCTTTTTTTCTAAACTTAAGGGTTAGAAAAAAAAAATTTATAGCCTTTGGCAATATTTTCTCTTTTTTATGACTAACAGATGTATGGGCACTAGGTTCTTTTGTGCCTCTCTTAACTCTTTGAATTGACAAAAATAATACAACAAGGGAAGTAAGGCAATTCGAGGAGACTATGTTCAGAGTGTATATTGAGCATGTGTGGAAATGTCATAATGAAAGCAAATACTTTTATATAAGTAATATATAAATCAATAACTAATATACTATATAATATATAACGTAATACATATATGTTAATATAATATAAATGTAACTAATATATAATAATAACTAACAAAATTTCAATTTTCTATACATTCAATTCAATGTAGTCACCATGTTCTAGCCCTTCTTCTCATAAGGGCTAAGTATAGTATTATAGAGTCAGAATAAAATCCATCCACTGAAAGTTAAGAGAATCTAATGTTTGCAATAACACCTAGAAAGTAACCTGTTCGTGATTTTTGCAGAGAATTAAATTTTATTAAATTTTATTTTTTTAAAGAATGAATGGATTAATCTGGAAATGAGAAATTGAAAATACAAGGAGTGGCTTTAGCAAAGGACATATCACCAACTTTTTTCCCCCCCTCCGGTCATTTTCTTTTAGTTTTAGTTGTGAGCCTAGCCTATAATGGCTGAGCCATCTCTCTCCTGTCATTTTCTTTAGCCCTGTCTTTTTTACTGACAGGATTTTCTGGCTGAATGTTCCAATATTAAAAACCCAAGTCAGTTTCATTCTTATTCTCAAATTCAGGTTGGATATGGCTTCCCTCTTCAAAGCATTTTGATTTCCTTTTAGTCCCGCTTTTCCATGTCCATGGCTTGCATTCCTGCAGAGTCTGCAGGGTCACCGCTGATACCTATCTCTGCCTTTCCCATCTGTTGCTGCATAGTGAAAATTCCAGATCTGCCACTTTACTGGCACTGTGATTTTTAGATACTTTTCTCAATTTCTTGGAACAGTAATTTCTGTACAATGAAGATAGCAGTAAAATTCTGCATACAGCTCATATATGTTAACATTGCATGTAATAAGTGCCCAATAATGGTAGATAGTTTTAACCTGAAATCACCCTTCTGTATTTAGAATGTTGTAATCTTCCCCCTCCCCAAATCACTATCAATCAGACCCAGGACCTTATATGTGTAAGGCATAGTGCTCTACCACTGAGTTAAATCACTAATCAAGGTGTTGCATTCTTGTGTACTATCTGGTACTCATTCACCAAGCTATTTCTCTTAAACAGATAACCCTCATCAATTCTCTAGCATTGTTTCTTTTCATCTTGTGACTTGTGACATGTTGTTCTTCCCCATGCCATGCCTTTTGCACAACATTCTTTTGAAAGTGGTGTGCTGACCGGTCTCATTTCCTAAGCTTCCAGCTCTGTTCTGAGGCAGGCGGCTACCAAAACTGACACCCAGAGGGTTAAACCTAGTTGCTGTAGCCATCCCTCCTCCCCCCCCCCCAGTCCCCCTTCTCACTGTAGGCTGGCAGCTGTCCTAACTGCCTACTGAAGCCAAATGCTTGAGCAGAGAGAGAGAGAGAGAGTAAGGAGCCAGCCATGAATCCCTTCCAGAAAAATGAGTCCAAGGAAACTCTTTTTTCACCTGTCTCTACAGAAGAGGTGCTGCCTCGACCTCCAAGTCCTCCAAAGAAGCCGCCTCCGGTGAGTCCCCAAATTCAGTTTGTCTCTTGACAGTAACAGCGTGGGCACTTTCGGAAGTTCCTTCTGGGCTGTTGGAACACAGCACTGAAGTGTATTAGAGTAGAAAAACTACTCTCTCGTGGAATTAGAATTCACCTGAAAATGAATTCTAGTTTCTTCTGTTTCAGGAAGGAAGCCACGGTTTAGGTTTGCCAGAATTTTTCCGTTGGGCCCCAGAGTTTTGTTGTATTTCATTGCATATTCCCTTGGGGGAGAAAAAGCACTTTGAATGTTCAGGGAAACTTGGCAAGCATTTCTGTCTGGAGAACTGTATGTGATTGTTCTTTTACCAATACGAAAGCTCAGCCTTTAGCTCCCCTTGTGTACAGAGCCTTCCTTTTTTTTTGGACACCAACAGAAGCTGTAGAATAGACTCACTCTCTGTTACTAAGTGTCCCTACTTTAAAGTGGGAGAGAGCAGAGAGAAGAACAAAGAATAACATCTTGCATTATGCTCTTGTTAAAGCACTTCCGAATTATCACCTCAGTCAGTTCTCATATTGTAGTAAAATCCTCTCAGCAGAGAGACCACAGTAACAATAGCCAATGTTTGCTGAGTTCTTACTATCAACCACGAACTTAGTAGAATTCTTATTTCTATGGAATAACAGAATTAAAGCACAGAGACAGGCTAGCAATGTAGCTTAAGTAAGGTTTGAATGTTAATCCAATTAGTATACAGCTAATGTTAAATAAATTCTATGTTAGGTAATTCTTAAGCTGGGAAGATAATATTTCAATTCATTGAATCTTTCAAGCAAGGTATTATGTAGTAACATGTATGTAGAAAGATATTTATTCATATCTACATGTGTAAAAGACAGATTATATTAATTTATTATATATTGAATCATATTATGTCTTGTTGATGATTAAAAAGAGATACATACTTATAAAATAAGAGATAATGTAAATCTCATGTTAATGTTTGAATGTCTCAAGAGACAGATTATCTTTATCCTCTTCCCATATTAATGCAGAATGGAAAGACATTTGAAATAAAGCTTGATAGACTTTATCGTCTGAATTATAGCATTGTTACTCTAATGTGCAGGCTGCAAATAAAAATCTTGGTGCTAGAAAAATGGCTCAGCAGTTAAGAGCACGTGCTGTTTTTCCAAAGTTTAGCTCCTAGGTCCCATGTCAGCCAGCTCGCAACAACCTGAAACTCCAGCTCCAGGAGATCCAACACCTTTTTTTTTTTTTTTTTTGGCCTCTGCAGGCATCCACATACATGCGGAATACACTCTCACATATACACATAAATAGAAATAAAATTAAAAAGGAAATAGTATGGAAACATACTAGTATGAGGGTGGACACTTAATTTCATAGAATTTCAGAATTCTCTTCCTAGAGTTAATGTGATAAAACCCCTTACCTTTAGGAATGTTGCCTCCATTCTGAGCTCTATGCCTGGTTCCAGCAGCCTATGAAAAGGAAACTTCATATTGTTAATATTTCTCCCAGAATGGTAACTTTGGAAGATGGGAGAAGTCAGTCTCTATAGTGGAGTCAAGTGGGGTAGTGAGATGTGGCTCTGACTGCGTGGGTATCTGCCATACCAAAGGCTATCTTTTCATTTTATTCTTAGCAGTAAGTATGGACCATCCTCTCCCTAGAGCCATAGGCTTTTATTGATATACTGTGGGGATATGATCAAGGATTATCTGACCAATTTCATGTTAAACAACAGACAAAGTAAGATTCCCACATTGACAATATAAGCATAGCTAGTATGACAATATGTTTTGTGATGAGACCATTGTTCCATGTTAATTGACAACAATGATTTTAAAATGAGTCTGTCCAGGCATGGTGGGGTTCACCTGTAACCTGAGCTCTCTAGGAACCTGTAGCAGGAATATCACAATACCGAGGTCAGCCTGGGCAACATGACAAGAACCTCTTCATATACCTATGTTTGTGAAGATATGCTTTCAGTTGTAGAGTTACCATGAAGTATAAATGAAAAAACAGCTCATTCCTCAACCTTTGCCTCTTTGTTGAATAGAAAATCTTTGGATCCAGCTATCCACTCAGCATCGCCTTCATTGTGGTGAATGAATTCTGCGAGCGTTTTTCTTATTATGGCATGAAAGGTAATTCTGTGTCTCTGCCTTATGTTTACAGCAGCCTGGTCTCCTTTCATGAACTTGTTTCCTTTGCCTATTCTTTCTTCCTTGGTATAAATCAATCCTTCCCTCTGCCCATGATAATAAAGACCTTATAAATTTTTATTTATTAACTCATGGCGGTTAAGGTCAAAAAGGCCTGCAGAATTAACACACAGCCAAAGAAAACACAAGTGGAAAAGCTCTCATCATGTGAGTTCCACTGAACTATGTTGTTGCTGGGAAGGAGAGGAGGGAGCAGTATGGGAAGGACCATGTTAATTTCTCATGATCTAAATGATGCTATGGGTGCACAGAGACTGAAGACATGAGTATTGTATTTGGGTATCCAGCATGCCTCGTTTACTTCATAGTTCCCATGGGCCTTGCTTCTACTGCCTGGCAGTCATCACTCAGTTATTTCACTGCTAGGAGTGCTGAAGGCCAGGGTCACCTGTAGAGCCCTGAAATCAAATGTACGTCTCTGTAAACCATATTTATTGCATCTATCTTACTTTCCATTTGTTTTATTCTGTTTCATCTCAGCTGTGCTGACCTTGTATTTCCTGCATTTCCTGCACTGGAATGAAGACACCTCCACATCTGTATACCATGCTTTCAGCAGCCTCTGCTATTTTACCCCCATCGTGGGAGCAGCAATTGCTGACTCATGGCTGGGAAAATTCAAGTAAGGATAATGGCAGATCACAGCCTCAAGAGCCTCACAAGTTCATTGTCCAGAAAGTTACCTACAACTCCTAGTCTTTTACCTTCTAGCTAAAATCGAAACAAAACAACAAATAAGACCAAAAGTAAAATTAAGAAACCTCATGTCTATGACAAATACTTATCTCTTCAAGACTGACAACAACCAAAAAAAAATCTATTATTTCCATGCTTATCCACTAATATTTTCACATCCTTTTAGTCAAGAGTTCCTTCTTAAAATCTAATTTTAGTCTTCTACTCTGTAGCTTGGTACTGAATCTTATTTTTCTCCGTGAGGGTAAAGACTGGCAAATTTACATTAGTAAAGGCTTACTGTGGTTATCTAGTACTTTCTTTATGTCTTCCCCAGACTCCATCACCTCACCTCCTTCAGCATCTTATTGATCTTTCTTTTCAGAGGCTTTAAAATTATCTCTGTTTACCTTCATCACCTGTTTCTGTAGTTTCCTTCCTTAGACTCTAGTAAAGATTTCCACAAGTTAAAGTATTAGCCCATTTAGTTCAGCTCTTCTGTTCCTAAAAATAGAAGTAGCAGACATGGTATAATGGTATAATTGTCCTCTACAACATTTTGGCATTCATTATCTAACAATAAGTCTGTAAGTTTGCCATCCATGGATTTGTCTGAGTTAGCATTTCTCAAAATATATTCTTTTAAAAACTTGATTGTATAAGATATAATGAATTGTGTGAGAAAATAAAGCTTCCATGGCACCTGTCTAGAAAAATCCTATGTTGTTTCGGAACAGTAAGGAAACACTGAAAATGTTTCCTTACTGTATAACTTCTTTTATTCTCCAGTAAGTTAATAAGCACTGTAAAATCTCCAAGTGAAAGTTAAGTATGTATCGTTTGCTAAAGTAGTCTGACAATATGGTATTGTATTTGTAAACCTAGTGTTTGAAAGAACTTGTGTTTGCCTCACTTCTGTTGCTGTGACTAATACCCTGACAAAAAGCAATATGGAGAGGAAAAGGTTTATTTGGCTTACAATTCTAAGTTAGTGTCATCGTTTTGGCCAAGTCAAGGCAGCAATCCAAGCAGCTAGTCACATCATTCCCACAGTTAGGAGCAGTGAGAGAGTAAACTCAACCGTGCTTGTTTTCTCTCTTTTTCCACTAATATGTTCAGAACCCCTTCCCTAAGGAATGGCACTACCCACAGCGGGCTGTGTCTTTCTACATCAATTAACAATCAAGACAACCTCCCTCCCATAGACATGGCTAATGGCAAACCAGATCTAGATAATTCCTCATTAAGATTCTCTTCTCAGGGAATTCTAGTTTTGTCAAGCTGGCAGCTAAAACTAACCACATAGAATTCTAACTGTAAACACTGATTTCTATCTTAATTTGATATATTTATGTACATATATATATTCATGTATGTGAATAAATAAATTCATTCTCTCAAGAGAGGCATGGTGGGTAAGTGGATACATTTGTTACTTATGTAGTAGTAGTCATTGAATTCATTCAGCTATGAATTGGCATTACACAAGCTATGGTATAGGATAAAGGCTGACATTGCAGTTGTGTTTTTAAAATAACTTCCTTTGAGACTGAAGAAGTACAACTTCAGGATTTGTTAAACAATAGCTTCCTGAATATTTTGGAGTAAATTTAATATTTTTCTTGTACTCTTAACTCAATATTGATTGGGTTCTTTTTTTTAAAAACTTTCTTTTCTTAAATTAATTCTATTTAAATTTAAAATAACCTTATTTTACTTACCAATCCAAGTCCCCTTTCCCTTCCATCCTCCCATTCCCCACACCATCCTCAAACAATGCCCCCATCCACTTCTCAGTGAGGGTGAGGCCTCCCATGGGGGATCGTCAAAGTCTGTCACATCATTTGGGGCAGGATCTAGGCCCTACCCCATGTATCTAAGCTGAGAGAATATCTCTCCATGAAGGAATGGGCTCCCAAAGTTCATTCATGCACTAGGGATAAATACTGGTTCCACTGCCAGCAGCCGCATGGACTGCCCAAGCCCCCCAACTGATACCCACATTCAGGAAGCCTGGTTCATAAACCTACTTTCGGAAGAGTAACTTACATAAAGTACACAAATTCAGAAGTCTTCTGTATACAACTTGAATTTTTACAGAGGTTATCACCATTGCCTCAACTACTTTCTTTAGCTATCAAAGTCTCCCTCAGAGCTGGAATCTTTTCCTGTACTAGAATCAGGTACAAGCCTCTAGTATCTCTAAATAAACAAATAAAAATCTTGAATTTTTCCTATTTACTTTCTCCTCTAGTTACTCTCACAATTTAAAAAGAACATCTCTATGTTAGTCACTGTTTTCCCTATCATCATTTCTTATGACAGAGTGATATAATTCAGTGTAAGGGAACACGATTTAGTTCAATTACACGATTTAGTTCAATCTGATCCAAATTAAATGTTTGCTGAACTTCCTTTATTTGTCCAATTAATCAAAAGCATAAAGAGATGGATTATATATAATATGTTTTCACAGTGTTGAAGTTCAAACAGTTTTAATAAAAACAAATTGTGGAAGCTTTAATATGAAATATTAACCTTTATTTTCCCTACTGAAATTTCTCAGAATACTGATAATGATAATTAACAAATTATAGTGGCCATTTCTAGATTCGTGTTCATTCTGAACTTAAATTTCATTAATTTGATCTATTTATCATCCCCAAGGGTTTTTTTGTTTTCCTTCCTGGCCTTCTCTAACACTGTATTTTTTCTTCTCTTTCATCTTTCTGGGTTCTTTTAAAACCACCTCCATTTTTGCTTTTCATTTATTTAGCTCTTTCCTAAATGTCATATTTCTACCAGGTGGTAACTCCCACTATTCACTTTCTCCAGACCTTAGCAGGTCTGGAGGTGTGTAGTTATCTACAGACAGCTACATAGACTGTTGGAATGTTCAAATTCATCGTGCATTTATAATTGCTTGTTTCTTTTCAAGTTAGCTGTCCTCTATCCTGGCTTTTTTATGTCTTCAAATTCTAAGGTACAATATCACTTACACTCATTCTCTTCAATATTAACTCCAACTGCTATCAGTTGTCACCATTTTTCTTTTATTTTCTTTGTTTCTAAACTGAAAGATGAAAGGGGATACCTAAAATGTTTTCATTGCTGTTTTTTTCTACAATTGAGTGTATGCACTATTATCTAACCCATAATTGAGACTGAGAATATGTATGGATAGTAATGAAGGTGGTTTTTATTTACTTTGGGACTTGTCTTTTTTTAAACAGTACATTACATTTGAGGAATGCCTTGAATCTCTTTCAGATTTAAAACTTGAGTAACTTGTCATTATATAGACAAATGTATGTGTATGTAGACATACATGTGAGAGCCCTTATACACAAAAAGAATGATGATAATCTGGTGAAATAAACTTGGTATTGCCTTCCATCATACTTTATTGTCGGTTTTTAAAAGCTGGAATTGGCTCTTCTTTCACTTTTTAAAACCTGGAGTGGCAGTCTTGCCTCAGTGAAGGAAAAGGAATATGTTCAAACTTGTCCACTTTTCCTTTATCTCTCTGTCTCTCTGTCTCTGTTTCTTGCTTCTACCAACTTTCCTCTCTCCTTTTCCTCCTGCTCTTCCACCCCACCCCCTTCTCTATCTCTTCTGTACTTACCTTTTTCCAATGTTATCTTGGAGGTAGAAGACTTAGGTTAGGAAGATGGTTTAAACATTCAAGGAATGAGTTTATTAATTTAGTGAACAAGTACTAGATGACCAGCCTGGAATCCAAGCTATACAACAGAAAATGGGCACCCAGATTCCCCAACTCTTGAATAAGGAAATCTTGAAGATTTAGTTCAGGTACTTTTATGGTATGAGTCTGTGTCTGTGTACAAGAATGCTACATGTGTGTGCATGCAGAGCGGGGCGGTGGGGGGCTAGGGGGCATCAGATCCCCCTAGAGCTGGACTTATGGGTGGCAACGAACCTGTTGGGATCTAGCACTAAGAGTTCTTAACCATGAAGCCATCTTTCCAGACCCATTTAGTTTGTTTCTCTCTAATGATTTAGCAACCGTCCTCTCCTTGAGGTCTGTGATAACTAGTTTTTTGGGTTTTTTTTTCAGTTTCTTTTTACTCCCTTCTTTTCTAATTGTTCCTTTTACTTTGACAAAGATCCCCCTCAATCAAAGAAGATTAGGCATTTAGAATGAGGAATCCCCAAGTCGAGACTTTTAGTACTTCTAGACACTTTCTGATTCCTTCATTCCATTCTTCATATTCAACACCAGGATAAAACACTTTTAAAATGATAAAGACAAACTATATAATTCTGAAGGTTTATTATAACATTAACATTCCACCCATATGGTAATATGCATAATATACATCCCAATTATTACATACAGAGTATAATCAATATTGTGCTATGCCATTGGGCAGAACTCTACATATGTCCTTATTGGAATTCCTTAATCTGCTATTTCTTTGCCAGTCAAGTTCACTGGAAAAAAATAACTCAGCAGGTAGAGGTTCCCCATCTCTAAAAAAAATTCATGATTTTTTTTTTAATCACCGAACAGCTTAAGTCCTTTGTGCTTCCCTATTTTTGGCAAATTATCCATGTGTAAACTGTCCTGGGGTTTGCAGTTAACTAGAGTGTTCAAATTGCCCAGATTAGACCTCAAATCCCTTTGCCTTTTTGTACAACTCAGTGCATGTTTAGAGAAAGTCCTTTGTTTTAGCACTCCTATGACCTGGCATTCATCTTTTACTCCCCTTGCTTCTTAGAACTAAAAGACATTGCTTTAGAAGAACAGCAAGTGGAGGCATCCTGTTCTGCTGATTTCACTAATTGAAAACATCCCAGTGCTTGCTACAAAACTACCTAGTTCTTGTCACATAAAAGTAGGATTGCCCTGGGAATGCAGAGCAGGGTGTAGATCTGGGAAGAGAACTCAAAAACATGTCTGTAACCTCCAAGTAAATATTACACAGTGAAGAATCCTACGCCTTTCCCTCCTCTGTTTCCTCCATTCGCCATTGTTTCTCCCAGCTCATTCTTTCCTCTTCCACTCCCTTCTCTTCCTCCTCTGTTTACTGAGAACAGTGTGACCCCTGACTGTTATTCAGTTCTCTGAACGGTTTGACTTTCTTCACAGGACAATCATCTATCTTTCCCTGGTGTATGTTCTTGGCCATGTATTCAAGTCTTTGGGTGCCATACCAATACTGGGAGGAAAAATACTACATACGTGAGTAAAATCATGGGATCAACACTTTTCTTACATCAGACAGATGCATATTTTAGAAAGTCAATATAGATGACTTTTTACTTTATATCGGAGATGCTCCTTTATTTTCTAGTGTATAATTTTATTGTCAAGCTTACTAAAATAAGAGGTTTAAGAGCAATCAAACTCTTTCCTACATTGTCAGGTCTCATTTTTTTTTTTATTAAGTAAACATTTGAAGACACTTAGAATGCCTAATTAGTAACCTTCTCATAAAAACTCATTTGCTTGAAAATGAGAAAAAAATTATACATTCTATTTTCCTTCACTTACTCATCTTACTATGTATCTGTACACCATTACAAATTTTAAAAGTATTTACTTATAATAAAAGTAATATTCAAACTTGAGGTATATCTATTTATGTGTAGTCATGTATATTCCCATTTTACTGTTCCACTTTACTTCAAGAATTGGTGTTTATAGAGCAGAGACATTTGACAGATTTTTAATATATGTAATCAATTTAATATACTCACACACACACATATATGTGTGTGTATATATATATATATATATATATATATATATATATATATACATTCTGACTTGAAATTTTTACTTTATTTTAAAAGTAATAAACATTAAATACCTTCTTATTACTACTCCGAAAAACTTGTGGATGCCATTTCTATTTATTATGATAAATTTTAATATTTTACTTTGTAATTAGTAAAGGTATGTATGCAAGGTTATAGTCCTTATGATTTTTCAATTGAATTACTAAAATAGTATTACAAAAACTAGTGTGCTCACTTCTGAGTCACCGAGTGTCTTCTTTCACTTGATGCATACAAAGGATAAATGGTACTACCATGCATAGAATCTTTTCAGGCAGTATGGTTTCTAGCAGAGGCTCAAATGTGAAGACGGTATATTCTCCTGAGTAGTACTTGGAGTGAAGGCAAGTAGAAAGTACACGCAATAGATGTGAAAAGAAGGTATTACCTTTAAATATCTTTTTTTCTTTATGCATCTTTACGGTCCATCTCTACAGTTGGTTTGGTATCAACATGGTTATAGCACCCTTACCTCTCCATTTCAGAATCTTATCATTGGTTGGCCTGAGTCTAATAGCTCTGGGGACAGGAGGTATCAAACCCTGTGTGGCAGCTTTTGGTGGAGACCAGTTTGAAGAAAAACATGTAAGAGTCTTTTTGTTTTTGTATTTTGAGAGTTTATAGCCAGCATCACTATGGAGAACCTGTCAGGTAGCCATCTGCTAAGACTGAAGTAATTCCACTGATCAGGTCCTGTCTGGGGAGTTGAGTCCTGTACTGGACACTAGTCACTAGTAAAAACTAAAGCTCAGTTAAAGGAAAGTAAGGGTGGGCAGTGGACATGTATATGAGGAAAGGCTGAAGAAAATGAGGACATATAGACTGAATAAGCTGAACAGCAAGGGAGCTTAGATGTGGCTCAGTTGGTAGACTACTTGAGTAGCATGCACAGAACTCTGGGTTTAGTCTCCAGCAGAGTATAAACAGAGTATAGTGGCTCATATTCATAATCCCAGCATTGGGGAGTAAGAGTGAGAGGCAGAAAGATCAGTAGTTCAAGGCCATCCTCAGCTACATATTTATTTCAAGGCCAGCCCAAGATTCACAAGATCCTGACTCAAAACAAAATACAAACGAACAAACAAAACCTAAGGAGAAAATTACATATAGCTGTTCATAAATATCGGGGGACGATCATGTTTAAATCTGAGCACAGGGAGTGAGAGTTATAGGAAATTAGGCGCTTGCTTCACTGAAGGGAAAACTTCACACAGGATTCGGAAATAGTGACCTTACTTTCACTTGAGGTGCCTAAGAATTGATATGACAAGTACTTTAGGAGTGGGAAGTGCAATACAGAGATGATTTTGTGAAGGGAGAATTATCAGTTTGAATGAAACAGAATGCCCACTTATAGATTAATTTGCCTGGCTGGTCTTTCCCTTTCTTCATAACACTTCCCATTGCCAATGGTGGGAGTGGGGGATATATGACCAAAGTGAAAATGAGCCTATTTGAGGAAGCTATGGTGAGTGGACAAAGGAACCATCTATTCTTGGACCTTCTGGATTCCTCACTTTTGAGAAATGCAGAAAAAAAAAATTAGTTTTCTTTGTGAATCTATTTCTTCTCCCATAGCTGTTTATCCTGGTTCTGTTTTCTCTCTTCCTCTTTCTCCCCCAATCTTTATGTGCCCTCTTCCTTTCTCCTCCATTCTCTCTATGACACAATGCCTGTTATCTCTTTCTGTCCCTGTCTTGTCTCTCTGTGTCTTACCTTCCTATGCTTCTCTTTGCCATTCAGAACACTTGTATTACTTGGAACATTTTGTTCTATGGATTCTAATTACTTGCTAACACTCAGGAAATTACAAACCTTTGCAGATCAGCTTCTGTGTACAATGAACTTTGTAAGTTAGAAGAGCAAGCACATGTAAACAGGAATGAGAAGAGGAAGCAAGAGGTGTCACTAACTGAGCATGGGGGATGACTTACTGTTCTAGTGATTTATGAAGAGCTGAAATGCCAGAATTAAGTACACTGTAGGTTGTGAATCACCTATTAGAACCTTACTTGAAAGATGTTGCATTTAGTAGCTGGCCCATGGTGTATTTCTATTAATAAAACAAACTCCCCCCCCCCCAGGCTTCTGCAAACTGCTTCTAGGCCAGCAGGTGCCCTTTTATACTCTCTGGATGCACTATCCTCCTAGATCAACAGATTACTACACTGTTATACCATATACTCAACAAAATATATTCATTAACTCAAATATATTCATTGTCTAATTAATACAGTCAATAAACATTTATTGGGTGTCTAATATAGGTTAGTGTTTGTTCAGGTACTAGGCATTACTGAAGGAATTCACAACATACTGAATAAAGCATATTTAATACAAATAAATTAATAGTATGATAAACATGTATTGGACCCAAGAATGGTATTGAGGACAGGTTGATCACTTTTGCCCAGGTCTTAAGGGTATTGTTTAGAACGTGAGTAAAAGCTTGTTTAGGGTCTATTGAGATGGTTACCTATCATGGAAGCACTATCTGATTCTGTTGCTTTGTGTGCCTTCATCTAAATTTGAACATGGAGTGGGGTGGAGCTAAGAGACACATTTTTTCCTGATGATCTGTCTCATTCCAGGCAGAGGCACGGACTAGATACTTCTCAGTCTTCTACCTCTCCATCAATGCAGGGAGTTTGATTTCTACGTTCATCACACCCATGCTGAGAGGTCAGGATTCCTTCTACGGGTCTGTGTGTGTGTAGGGCTTTACTCTGGCCAAACAAAAAGCTGTTGACAGCTGCAGGTGGTTCCACTTTCTCCTTTCATATGGGCAGATATATGAGAGGTTATTTGAGTTTTGATTTGTCTGGCTTAAAATAAGGGTTAGATATTGGGAAGAAAAGATGATAGCTATGTCTGCACCAAGAACCTGGCCTTATAGAGTAAAATATAATTTATAATTAATAATTGCTCTCCCCCCTTTGTTTCCTTCAGGAGATGTGAAGTGTTTTGGGGAAGATTGCTATGCACTTGCTTTTGGAGTTCCAGGACTGCTTATGGTAGTAGCTCTAGGTGAGTATAGTGGAAAAATGAAACTAACAGCTGTGGATTCCTGCTACATGGAAGGCATTTTACACAAACTATTTCATTGATCCCTTATACCAACCCTGTTAGGCAAGTGTTATGGTAGTGATTTCCTTTGATTTTGAAGATAAATTATGAATGGTATCAGAAATTTTTATTTATTCTTATTATCTGTTTACCAGTAAATGTGTGTGTATCATATTTGTGCTTAGTGCCCATGAAGGCCAGGAGAAGGCATCAGATCCTCTGGAGCTGGATTTACAGACAACTGTAAGCAATCATGTTGTACTAGGAATGTAAGCCAGGTCCCCTGAAAGAGCAGCAAGTGCTCTTAAATTCTGAGTCACCTCTCCAATCCCACAAACCACTTTTAAGTGCTACAGCCACATAGTTAATGAATTTCAAAGGGGCTTTTTAAAACCCCATCTTTGGTGCTCATATAGAACTGCTGATCAGGAGTTTGAGTACCTAACAACTTAAATATCTCAGGTGACACTTTTTTCCCACCTGCCCCTGCCTCTGGATTACTAGGATGAGGTGTGCACCACCACCACATTCTCAGGCGATTCTTGAGTACAGTCAGGATCAAAGCCCATTGATTATTGCTGAAATAGTCAAGGAAGAAAAGAAGACAATTCAACCTCTATCTCAAACTAGTTTGTGTTATCCGACACTTATTTTTCTGGTAAGTCAATGCCACTTCTGATTACCTGGGCATTTTAAAGTAGCTTCCAGTTTTAGCTGTTTTTGCTCTGCTCTGCAAAGGTCCCAAGGAATTTTCCCTTGAACAAAGAGAATTAAAGAGGAGTTGGCTAATGCAACTTAGATCAAGTGGCATTCTTTTTAGCACTGAGAACTTTGTCCTGGAAAAGACTGGGGATGTGTGGGCCTGTTAGCTTAGGCAAGTTCCCCCAGGGGAAGGCTTGGGTGTGATTGTTTCTAGTCACTGACCTGGAAACCTGTTCACACTCTGAACCTCTGAGTGACACCCCTCTGGAACATATCCAGTCCAAACACATAAAGAGCTCAACAGAAGCAAGGGAGTCCAGAGATTCAATGTTTGGTCTGATTCTTTTCTACCAGAAAGGCTGAAAGTAATACAGTTCCCAGTTCCAAAGAAATTTATTCTGGGAGAGCCATGATCAAATCCTTCATTCTCCCTTCAATGACAAAGAATTTCCCCAAGGACTTCCATTTCTTTTCCACTTATTAGCATCATGGCAGCCTCTCTATATAACTGCCTGGTAATACTATTAAGACATTAAAGCAATTATGGAGCTCAAAAAGATTGAGGAATGAGAATGTTTTATCTTAAATAGGTGGTATCTATCATGGCTAGTCAGTAGAATGTTTTATCTTAAAGTAGGCAATATCTATCATTACTAGTCAGATGCTTCATTTTATGGTGCTAATAATGTTTATTATGTGAAAGATTTCATGGTAGGTACAGGGCCCATATTGGTTTTATTTATATAGTACAGGAAGAATAAGTCAGACAAATAAATGGAGATTTATTGTATGGTCCTGTCAATGTCCTGACAAGGGAAGTACAGAGAAAGCTATGGGGCTCACAGAAGGGTGCCCTGATGAAGACTCTGGAGGTTTTAAGGGTTTGCCTAGAGAAAAGACTTCTAAGATACGCCCTTAAGTATGAACAGTGGCTAATCAAAGAAGTGACCATATGGAAAGACAGTATGGTTGATGGGAGACAGGTTGGATGATTCAGGTTATTCAGAGCACAAAAGAGAGAGACAAAGAAGAAACGTTGCCAGAAAGAAAATAATGAAGGAAAATTTAGGCCATGAAAGAATTAAGACTTCTTTGTGAAGACTGGAGAATAAGCCAAAAGGGTTTTGAACAGAGAAATGATTGTTAGATTTGTTTTAAAAAACTGTTTCATAGTGTCTTATTTTGCAAAGGTCTGCATTAGGAGAAGAAATTGTATTGAGGGTCAGGCAAGGATAATATTGATTTTGTTTGCTTCATGTATTATACTCCTTTAAATTTTATACTTGAGGGAGTGCCTGATTTGGCTCACTCAGTCTTAGTCCCTGTTAAGTTACCAAGCCATGATATGATTGGATATGTGAAGTGAGGGGGAAGATAGGACACTGTTGAATACAGGGTTCTGACTTGAATCACAGGCTAGATAATAGGGTCATTAACTGAGATGGTTAGGATGAACAGGCTAAAGCAATTCTGATGGATTTTTGGTACACGTTGTATTGTAGGTGCTCTTGAAACATCTAAGTGCATCATCAAATGGTTATTTGGAGATACTGTCTCAGGGCTCAGAGCAAAACAATTGGGTTTTAGACACAAATATGGATTCATAAGATGCAGCCAGCAATTAAGTTTTGAAAATATAAAACTCTGAGGTAATTAGAGTAAAGTAAAAAGAAGACCTAGGCTCAAACTCTAAAGACACACCAGCATTTAAAGAATAGGTATCAAGGAGAAGTTCACACGTTTGTAATCACACATTTGCACTCTGGCAGAAGAGGCAAGAGGATCATGAGTTAAGAGTCCAAGCCTAGGCTGCATAGTGAGTTCTAGGCCAAAGTGGGCTATAAAGAGATACCCTGACTCAAAGATGGAAGGAAGGAGAAAAGGAATGGAAAATGGATAGAATGGGTAAAAATTGTTCTAGGTTGAATAAAGGAAGCAATGGTAATACAAAAGAGGGAACGGCTGTGCTATGCACTCAAGAAAGAAAAATTAGTCAAAATTGGTATCATATCAGATGTGGAGATGGGACACATGAAAGGAAACCAAAGATGACTTCTGTCTCTGCTATCCCTTAAAGGTCTCTCAATGAATATCTCTTAACAATTGAGCACTTATCTCCCCTTGGCTACTCTTGAAGTTAGGGAGCAAAAGTCAGTTCTCTGTGGTATTTGATGCTGACATACTGAATATTCTAAATGAGAGATCAAGAACATTGTCTGTGTATCACTTGTAGTTGTCTTTGCAATGGGAAGCAAGATGTACAGAAAACCACCTCCTGAAGGGAACATCGTGGCTCAAGTGATCAAATGCATATGGGTATGTTCATGAATTACCCTGCCTGCCTACTTTTTTTCAACAAAAGGGAAAGATACCACCCTGATCGTGTAGTTCCCCACACATGGGCAAATGTTTTTCTCAGCCATCTTCCTTCTATGTACCTATCTTTGGAAAACTGTGTTTAATTTATTCTCCTTGCCTCTACTTGACCATTAAGTTGCAGAAGCCATCACTTTTTTAATAGCAAAAAATTCTCCTGAGTACAGTTGTATATGATACTTTTAGGTAATAAGGAAATATAAAAATAACACCTCAGATGTTGGGATTCAGTGTTTGATGAAATTCAAAGTACTTGTTTAAGGGAAGGGTTAGTGGACTGGGAAAATCAACAGATGCTTTCTTTTAGTCTATCTCTGATTGTGTTCTCCACCCTAGTTTGCTATCTGCAACCGCTACAGGAACCGTGCTGGGAACATTCCAAAGCGACAGCACTGGCTAGACTGGGCAGCAGAAAAATACCCAGTAAGTGGAAACTTCAGGAATACCTCAAAATTCTAATTGATCTTTCAACCCTTTTTATTCTGGCACATTTGACCTCTTTTTTTTTTTTTTTTTTTTTTTTTCTGTTTTGAACCATTTCTACTCTAAGCAAGTAAAGCACATTTGGAGCCTCTGGCAATTTTCCCTGCTCTTTCTTCCTCCCCACAGAAGCATCTCATTGTGGATGTGAAGGCACTGACCAGGATACTGTTCCTTTACATCCCACTGCCCATGTTCTGGGCTCTTCTGGACCAACAGGTAATAGTGGGTTTTTTTGAAAGATATTTCTTTTTTCCATCCTGTTTCATATCACAGGAAAAGGATGTCTCACAACAAAATCTGTCTGCTCTAGGGCTCACGATGGACACTGCAAGCTAACAAAATGAATGGTGATTTGGTGAGTTGACAAAACTTCCAAAGAAGTTTAAGTTTTTAGTCATACATAATTTGTTTAATTTACATAAATTAGTTTAATTTACACATACATAATTTTTATTTCTACATATTTAATTAATCTATTGGTGATTTGTCTTTAAAAAAGAAAAAACTGACTTAAGATCATTAGAGATGTATATTCATTAAGCCCCAAAAACACTGAGTAGGTAAAGACAACCAAAGTTAGACTAGAAAAAAAATTATAATCTTGCCTTTAGAAATAAGAAGGGAAAGAGTGGGACATGCCCAAATACCCCCCATGACATACTGAAAAGACAACAGCTGAAGTCATGCAGGTCTGGTTGATGGTTTTCTTACATTTAAGCCTGTCTTAGACATACCAAGTAAAAGCTTAAGTGGTGCCTCTACACAATGTGCCACGTTCTTTAGGCAAGATCAAGCAAGGGACCCAGAGGACCCAACAAAAAAATTAATAAAATATCTGACTTGTGTCTATGAGAAGGAGTAATATTATTTTCTCTCTTTTTTTCAATGTCCATTCTTTGGTCCACTCTGTCCTTTATGGTCTACTCTCTATTCTTAATCATTCCATCTCTACACTATTATATTGGTAGTTTTGAAGATGACAGGATGAGTGACATCAGAAGCCTCCAAAATATAATCTTATCTTTGCCTTCCTCTATTTGTCCAGAAGTTACCATGGCAATTCTCTTATTGATTCTCACACCTGTCCTACTGTTATTACTGCCTCTAATTATGTTGTTGGGATTCAGTGAAACATCCCAACTCTATCACTCTCAGACAAAGTGTAGCTCAGCTTGAACATCCCTAATCCCCAAATCTGTAATCCTGACTGCTCCAAAAGACAAAACTACTCTTGAGCATTAACACAATATCACAAGTGAAATTTTCCACACCATAAAACTATCATGTACAAAATTGTTGCCAATTATTGAGTAAATTACCTTCAGGCTAGTGTTTGAGTCATATATAAAACATAAATGAATTTCATGTATAAATTTCAGCCTCACTGCTTCTCCCCCAATCTCCACTATGAACATGCACAAGATTGCAAATCCCAAGCATTTTTGAAAATGCTTAACCAAGACACAGAAAACTTTCTTTTCCCTAGGGCCCATCTGTCCTTAGCAAATAGTCAGAAGCCATCCCAAGTCTCTCCCCAGCCCACATACCTTTGTCAGCAAACAAGATAGCTTGAACTAAAGATGCAATGAATTTTCTTTAATATGCTTCTTATTTGCTATCAAGATAAGATGCTACTATCAGGCCTCGGTGGTCATGGCTTTCATTGTCCTCTACTGCCATCTAACTATAATTTATTATGATGTTTTAGGGATTTTTTGTGCTTCAGCCGGACCAGATGCAGGTAGGAAACTTCTCTGTACCTCTTCACCTGTACCTCTACCTGTTATTTGGGTTGTCAGCTATCATCTGATACATTCCTCACTACATCCCAAATGTAGAGATGAAAATAGTTTCTCTGAATCTTACTCTTTCACATCCTTTGTTAAGGGTATAATTCTGCCAACTTCAGAGAGACTGAGTATGATCCCACAGGAAGAGTGTGAGCATTGAATGTTCTTCCTATGCCAAGATGGCATAATTGAAAATATTGTTAAAGAAAGTGTAAACCTGAGTCTATGGCTGTAGCTCAGTGATATAGTACTTGCCTGTCATGCAAGATGTCCTAGGTTCAATACCCAGCACAACCAAAACAACAAAAAGAAAGTATATACTTCTGCTGTGTGAGCAACAAAGTTAGAATTTCTGCTTACCTATGGTGACTTTCAGGGTACTTTTTAGCCCCTTGTGATTTCCTTTAGGCTGTAAAACTAAAGGCAAGAGACACTGGGAGAGAATGGTTTCTAATTTGACTGACAGGAAAACAGGCTCAGTAAAACCAGAAGTCCCTTGCTATATTTGGAAGTTAAGATGCTTTGCAAGGGAAGCAGAGCCTTGTATATAAAGAGATCAAGAAATGTGGACTCTTTACCTACTAAGGTGAAAGTGAGTAGATGTGAGAGGATGCATGCAAGCAGCTTCGAGCATGAGATCACACTCATGACTGAGAGATGCTCTTAATAATCCTTGTTACCATGGTGTTTCAGGTATTAAATCCCTTTCTGGTTCTTATCTTCATCCCATTGTTTGACCTCGTCATTTATCGGCTGATCTCCAAGTGCAAAATTAACTTCTCGTAAGTGCTCACCAGGTCATGTATTATTGCATACTGACTCAGTGTTTATTCATTTTGGTCACAATTCAAAGCTTGACTGTTTCTAGTTAATAATTATTTTGATTTATCACTTATCTGTTCCTATTTTTCATGTTTGACAAAATTCTATTAATGTGGGAAAAGTGGAAATTAGATCTAACTGTTGATTGTCAATTCCAATACTACAGACATATGTATGGTGTTGACAGGGTAGGTCTAGGCAAGTATGTGATATCAAGTTCCAGAAAAACCATGCTACTTTGCTCTTGAATGTTGCCTCTCCAAAGAAGCACATTTATTTACTTATTTCATGTGTGGTTTGGAGAGGGGTTACACACAGCAAATGTGTAGATGTCAGAGGAAAACCTGTGGGAATTGGTTCTTTCCCTTTACCATGTGGGTTCTGGGGATTAAACTTGGACTATCAGCCTTCATTGAATTATGCTTTGAGCCATCTCTCTGGACAAAGTCCTAAGGTTTTGGTGACAACTAGTTCTTTTAAATATTGCTGTTCCTATGAAACTAAGAAAGGACCTTGTAGGACTTGGTATAGCATCATTTTTAGTTAGTATGCATTGTATCCCGTCCTGTGCTGAGTAAAGAGTATCATTTGTAAAGCCTGGCAAGGAACAGTTCAAGTCTCCTTTCATGTCTGATATAACAGCAGTCTAGTTGTGATAGTAAAGTAATGACTACTTTACCACATACAAATGCCCTTGTCAGATACTTATTGAGTAGGAAATAGGGGGTCTAGGACCAGTTCCATGCAAACCAATGTAAAGATCATGTAAATCAAGGTATTCATAAGTTAGTAAAGGTACTGGAACATAGGCAAACATAACCATTATATGGGTAATGGTGGTAAATACCCTAGGAAAGGAAGATGGAAGTGCCATAGAGGTCAACAAAGACTTCTGAAGAAGAAAATGAGTTTAATTACAGAAGTTGATGTACATTAAATAACAAAACCTGATTATATCGCTATTATCCTTAATATTATGACACAATGGCTAAAGTCATCATAATCAAGTAGAGGTAGGAAAACTGGTATATTACAGAGACGAGGTGTTAACTAGGACTTGAATAAAGGGTGTTTGAAGGAGAGTTTTAGAAAATACTTTACAAAGTAATTGGAATTAATTAAAGTCTTTGTAGAAAGGCTAAGGAGTCTGGGTTTTGAACCTTAGAATAAGGGGCAGATATAATGACCTCTCCTTTCCTCCTTCCACAGCTCACTTAGGAAAATGACTGTTGGTATGATCCTAGCATGCCTGGCATTTGCAGTTGCAGCACTTGTAGAGATAAAGATAAATGTGAGTTCAATGAATTTTAAGCTCCAAATCTCTCCTTACATGTTCAATCTCAATTCCTTGGGACTTGCCACAGCATCCATTTCATTGGACAGTCATGCTAAATATTTAAGCCAATAGAGCAACAATGCAAAAGGAATCCCATGTTCTACTTGAATAATTCAAGGTTTATCTTCAGGAAATTCCAAAACACAAATACCCAACATACTTTGGGAATGAAGGTTTATCTGATGCCATTGAAGCTATACAAATAATACTGGCCACCAAATAGCCAACATTAGTTAACGTTCTGTAAGCCCACTACTGAAGAAATGCATGTGTTACCTACCATCTGTGCTTGCTACATGGAACTGGGGTCTTTCCTGATTTAAAAAAAAAATGTCATTTCTTATTTCTAAATCAGCTGCTCTTCTGAGGGATAGACTTGTAAATCTTGGCTAGAAGGGCTAACCTGCCAAAGATAGGACTAAGATATGTGTTCTTGTACCTAAAGGATTATTGATTTGAATAAGTATTGTCTGTCTTTCAGGGAATGACCCATCCCCAACCAGCTTCCCAAGAGATTTTCATACAAGTCTTGAACCTAGTCGATGGCAAAATAAAGGTGACAGTGCTAGGAAGGAGAAATAATTCTCTCTTGGTGGAGTCTGTCAACTCTTTTCAGGTGAGGTATGGGCCCAGATGAATTAGAAACTGTATATGCTATAGTAGCCTTAGTTGTGTAATGGCATTAATCATATAATCTTATAATTGTTTTCTTATGCCCTTAAATAATCTTTGATAACATTATTCTAGTGGTTGCATAATATTCTATCCCTTAAATATAGTTCAATTAAGCATTTTCTGGTAGCTATTCAAGTTGGGTTTTGTTGTCATTAAGAAGAGGACATCAGATCTCCTGGAACTGCAGTTACAGATGGGTGTGAGCCACCACATGGGTGCTAAAAATTGAACCCATGTCCTCTGAAAAAGTAATCAGTGTTCTTAACCACTGAGCTGTCTCTTCAGCCTTGACCCTGTATTTGGTATTATGCATAATGTTCTAATGAACTACTCTACCCTTCTTTATGTATCCTTCTATGTCTCATGCCAGGGTTCTAGAAGTGAAATAACTCATTTAGAGAAAGAAGTAACTAGGTTACATATCCTGAGGCTATGAAATTTGATGTCCACATTGGGGTAGAAAATGAATATAACAGGTTCTTCGTTCTGCAGAACACAACACATTATTCCAAATTACACCTGGAAACAAAAATCCAAGATTTACATTTTCATCTGATGTATAACAACTTATCTGTCCACAAAGAGAATTCTGTAGAGGAGAAGAACTGTTACCACTTGGTTGTTTGTGAGGATGGAGAAAGTATCTCCAGTGTGCTGGTAAGTTAAAGAATTGCCCAAGTTCTGTTTTGAAGTAAGATGGCTGAGTCATCAGAAGCTTACCAAGGAGCTGCCTGGAAATGGAATGTTCTGATTATAGGTTTCCATTTGTCAGCTCCTACTGAGTTTTTCTTTTCCCTGTTGCAGGTAAAGGATATAGGAATCAAACCAGACAATGGGATGACAGCCATCAGGTTTGGATGTTGGGGACTTCAGTTGAAGAAGCCTCACATTTTACTTGTCCTGAACAGGGATGTTTCCCTCTTAGGAAGTCAGGGGCATTGGTGTCTGTGGCATTTCCTATGGCAGTAAAAGGCAAATGGGCATGCTTCCTTCCATAGGACTGGCAGATCACCACAAGTTTTTCTACCTCATATTAGCAAAATAACTCTGTAAATTTCTGTGTTCATGAGATAAACATTCAGAAGTCATTGGCTATCTATCCTGTAAAATGCAGGTTTCTATTGTAAACTGACAGAGGTATCAAAAGAGTCTTGTGAGATGGCATGAGACAGATAGAGGGGTGATCACCTGCCCTCTGTGGCTGAATTAGATGTAAAACAGAGAAATGATGGCACCAAGATCAGGTAGTTATTGTTAAATGTAGAGGAGAAACTGTGGAGAAAAGTCCAAATTCACTGAAAAGTAAAATACATGTAAGAACTTGTTCTTGAAATGCTTCAGAAAGGACAAATCACTCAAAGTAAGTTAGACAAGAAGGGACAGCAGGGACCAACTTTTCTGCATAAACGAAGATCCAGGAGTTAATTGTTAGAATACTAGAAGGAACCACCCTTCTTACCCCTAGAGCAAGACCACAATTAAAATTATTAAAACATAAATGTACCCAAACCCCATTCTGAGGGGAACTTACGTTCAGAATACTAGAAAGAAGATTCTGGAAGGGCCCAAGATTCCTGAAGACAGGAATATAGTGATGATACATTCTCTGGGCTGAGTCCCTAAATTTTGCACGAGGCAAACTAGACTCCATTTATAAGAAGATAACTTGTTTCTATAAAATGTAATATATATATATATATATATATATATATATATATATATATAATCTCTTTTATCTCAGCTGAAAGATTTCACCATTAAGAGGGAAAAATGTCTTGGGGGGGGTGTGATGATTCAAGTTCAAGCCCCAGACCACTTGTAAAAACCCTGAGTATGGTGGGATGAATTTGTAATCCCAGCATGGCAGAAGCTTGACTAGCCAGCAGCCCAGCTTTCAGCGAGAGTTATAGCCTCAGACCACAAGGTGGAAGCCTGTGGTTGACTTCAGGCTTCCACTCATCATGTGCTCATGTATGTACATCTCTATGCACACACACACACACACACACACACACACACACACACGTAGACATACATACAATAAAAAGAAAGAAATTATGTATTCTTAAACTAGATTAGAAAGGAAAGTCAGATTTCCATGTGTGACTGTGGTAGTGTCCATCTTGCTAGCCATCTGGTGTCAGTCATAAGTTAAGACTCCAGAAAGTCAGGTTTTTCTAGAGTAAGTTAAGGCTGGTGATTGCTTTTTAATTAAAGTTCCTTTGTTTGTTTGTTCCTAACCCAGCCACTATTTTATGCACTTAGAATACAGTATCAGGTATCCTTGTTTGGATATTTTGTCTGACATGTAAATGATTTGTCTACCCTCAGGTTTATTAACACCTTGCATAAAGACATCAATATCTCCTTGGATACAGATGTTCCTCTCAATGTGGGCAAAGACTATGGAGTGTCTACATACAGAACTGTGCTGGGAGGAGAGTAAGAGCCTTGACCTTGTGGACATTTTACTTTTGCTAAAACAATCTTTTTCAAATACTACTTTGTAATTAGGTGATTAACACAGGCATATCTGTGCTAATTTGAAGTAAAGGAAGATTTCTGCTGCTTTTTAATTCTTGCCCCCTTTTCCCAGGCCAATCTTCTTCCCACATTGCTAGGTTAAGTTGGTGATAGTTGTGCTGATAGTGTGTATCGTTAATACAGCCCATTTCTGTGCTCACAAAGTTTACTGTAGATTTTGGCTCCTGCTCTTTGGTACCTGTCATCAATACCTCATCATTCACAGCACTGGTTCTTAATTCTGTGACCCTTTAATACAGTTCCTTATGTTGTGGTGACCCCAACCATAAAATTAATTTCATTGATACTCCATAACTGTAAGTTTGCTATGTTATGAATCATAATGTAAATATATGATATACAGGATGTCTGATATGTGACCCCCAAAGGGGTTGTGAACTACGGGTTAAGAACTACTATTTAGAATTTCCCTCTCACATTACCTATTTTATATTATTCTGCTAAGTCATAAGATTTACATGAAGAAAGTTCACAGGCAGGCCTGATATGTACAAAAGTTGACCTGTACAGTCTTTCTTCAGGGTTAGGATTTTAAAAATGTACTTGTCAGGCAATATAAAATATAGATCCAAGGAGAAAACCTGGCCCAAAGGTGTCCTAGAAGTGTCTGTCTTCAAAGACACATGGCTTAACTATTTTCCTCGTTGGAGGAAAGATCGCTCCCCCTTGGAGAGGGGAATATTTACCCTAAGTCATGCTGTTTATTCTAACACAACCTCATCTTGTTGCAGGTACCCTGCAGTGAAATTCAAGACAGAAGACAGAGACTTTTTCCTCAATTTAGGTCTACTAGACTTTGGTACAACGTACCTGTTTGTGATCACTAATGTAAGTAGCTTACAGCCACCAACCTTCCTTCTGTCTGCTTGTCTGCCTGCCTATCTGTCTATGCCTCCTTCCTTACACACACACACACACACACACACACACACACACACACACACACACACACACACACACACACACACACACACACATATTTTGGCACCTTCTTGGTGAGGACACAGTGTAAATGAGAAGACTCTGTAGCAAGACAGGATTGCATACTTCTTTCTGGTCCAGTGTTAGGCTTTCCACCACTGTGGCAAATATCTAATGGAAACAGGTAGAAAGGCAGAAACATGTATCTTGGCTCATGGTTTCAGATGTTTGTGTTCTATAGCTGGATGACTCTATTGCTTTTAAGTCTATGGAAGAAACGTCGTAGTGGAAGGACATGTGGAGAAAAGGTGCCAGAAATGACATGGTGACCAGGAAGCAGAAAGAGTGGTAGAGAAAAGGATCCGGGGCAAGATATGTCCTTCAAAGACACGCCCACATTGACTCACTTCCTCAACACCTATGGAAGATGAGTCTTCCAGGTTCCACCACCTCCCAAGTGTCCATCAGTATATAAATCCTTCAGTCAGTCAATACATTTGTTAGGTCCGATTCCCCATGATCTAACTGCACCCTTGAAGAACCACCTCTGAATGTTACACTGGGGACTATGCCTTTAAAATGTGAATCTTTGCCAGGACATTTCATATGGCAATAGCAATGCTCCCTCTGAGGTTTTAGAAATCCCACCATCTCTGCAGGGGATAGCAAAAGCAGTGACATCAGAAGGAGGTAAGTGTGTTGGGAATGGAGGCATGACATGTCCCAAGTTATTACTGTGAAATCTCATGGTCAGCTCCAGTACCATTATGACCTTAAGAAGCCAAACATTATTGATGGAAAATTAATTGTTTTTAATTTGCTATTTTTTTCTGACCTAATATATAGGTCTGTTATGTTCCTGGGATTTTGATCTACTACTTTACAACAGTCTGAAATGTCAATCTCCACACAAAGTTTGGAGACTAATTAACTGTGTTCTATCAAAAGTAATTGCCAGCAGGCATAGTAGCACACACACACACACACACATACACACACACACACACACACACACACACACACAGCTTTAATCCCAGCACTCACAAGGCAGAGGCAGATAAGTCTCTGTGAGTTTGAGGACAGCCTGGTCTATGTATGAAGCTTGAGATTAGCCAGGGCTAAATAATGAGACACTGTCTCAAACAAACAAACAAACAGTAATTTTCTTAGTAACTAGAACAGAGAACTTTTGAGTCTTAATTCAATTTTTTTTCTTTCTTTTTCTTTTTTTTCTTTTTTTCTTTTTTTCTTTTTCTTTTCTTTTTTTGTGTGTGTGTGTGTGTGTGTGTGTGTGTGTGTGTGTGTGTGTGTGTGTGTGTGTGTGTATGAGTATTTCACTTGCATCTATCTATGTTCACCACACACATGCCTGGTGCTTGTGGAGGCCAGAAGAGGGCAGCAGATTTCAATTAATTTTGTACATAAGGATTTTTTGTTAAAGGATCATATTCTACTCTTTCATACACAAAGACATATAATTCATATAATAATTCATATATATGAATGGCCTCTAGTCACTCAGTGCAATTTGTTGAAAAGACTGCATACTAAATTGTCATGATGCTCTTGTTGAAAATCAATTGACCATAAAACAGATGTCTTATTTGTAGCTTCTCAACTCTGTTGCTTTGATCTACGTCTTCATCCTGTCTTAATTTCACATGGTTTTTGTTTCCTGTTTATTTGAAATCTATTTTGAATCCAGAGAATCAGTTTCCACATATTCTCCTTCTTTTCTTTTTCAAGGTTAGTTTGGAGGCTGGGGATGTAGCTCAGTGTTACAGCACTTGCCTAGCATGTGCAAGGCTGTGGCTCCCATCCCTAGACAAAAAGAAAAAGATCAGTTATTCTGTGTGACATGAGTTCCATGCAAAGTTAGGATTAGCTAGGATTAGAAGCCAGATGAAATTTTAATGGAGATTATACTGACTCTGAAGATTATTTAAGGGGCCAGTTGCTATCTGAATAATGATCAGCCTTTTGTTCAATGAATAAGAAATGCTTATCCACTTACTTAGGTATCTATTCTTCCAACCATGTTTTTGTAGTTTTCGGAGTATATCTTTTATATTTACTTTATTATATTTAATCCCAATTCTTTTATCATTTTTATTATTTCTTAATTTCATTTTCCTAGTGGTTATTTTAAGTCATAAAACTAATTCTGTGTATTAATCTGTGTATATTGTTATGAACTCTTATGAGCTAATTTGTTAGACCTAATATAACTTTAGTGGAACCCTTAAACTTTCCATATATGAGGTCATGCCATGTGCAATTAGAGATGGCCTCACTTTCTTTTCTGTCTAGATGTGCATGATTTCTTTTTCTTACCCAGTTGCTCTGGCACGGTGTTGGACAAAAATGATGAAACCAGACATCTCTTTCAGGAAGGGCATCCAGTTTTACCACTAAGGAAGTTACCCATGGACTTTTAAGTAGATGCCCTTTATTAGATTAAAGATATCTCTGCACACTAGTTTCTCAGGTTTTTGTCTACCTACTTCCTCATTTGTATGAGGTTGTATTTTGTTAAATGCTTTTTCTAAATTCATTTAGAAGACAATGTGAATTTTGTCCTTTATCCCATTGATATCATGGGCAACATTAATTGATTTTCAAATAATAAACCAACCAGTCAAGACCTGTTACTTTTATAGGGCTTCTATGACAAACCAGTATAAGTCCCCTTGTAGGCTTCAAGTCTGAGTTCAAGATGTTTGTAAGGCTTGTTCATTCTGAGAGCTGTGAGGAAAGCTATAGCTTTTCATGGTTTGCTGGGAATTTAGTATTCTTGGTGTATAATACAACCAGCCCATTGTCTATCTGTACCTTTGTATAGCACTTTTATTGTGTGCTTTCTATCTATATTTCCCTCTTTTTATATAGCTATACCTATCATATTCAATTAGCCCATCTCAATGACTCCATTTCACTTACTAATTACATCCATAAGCATCCTATTCCCAAGTCAGCTTACATTCTCAAATACTGGGTATTATAGCTTCAACACTTGAGTTTTTAAGGACACAATTTGACCTCGAAAATTTGTATTCCTTGTATTATTCCAGTCCTTTCTTGTCTTGTCTCTCCAAATGTTTCTGAATCCCAAACTTTATTAGGCTTCTGAAATAGAAGTCATAAATTGAAGGTTATGGAACCCAGTTCCTTCCAAGGTTCTATGGTGCTTGGCTTATGCGGATAATAAAAGGATCAATGGCTGATGTTTAGAATTTCAGATATTTTACCTGAGATTTGTATTCTTAATATTGTAACAGTGCCAGAAGATCCTGTGACAGACATCACTATGGTTCTGCCCAATGATGGTTGAGTTCAGCAAAGTCCTTATCATTTCCACTCAGCAACTTAATTACTTGCCTTAGAACACTTGAACATCTGACTTTTAGAGGCTCTTTTAGTCTGCTTTTATGTTGAACATACACACACAACACACATGTGCGCGCGCGCATACACACACACACACACACACTTTGGAACTAATTTACTTTTGACTTAGAGCCAAAAGCATTTGGACATCAAAGACTTTTAATCTCAGAGATTTTTTACTATAACTGATGGGAGTCAGGGAAATGAATGTAGTGTTACCAATAGAAAAATCCAAAACAATAGAATTGTATAGAAATGTCTAATCTTTTGAAGGTAGCAAAGAAATGAAAAGGAAGGGATAGATATAGATCGTAGGATGTTATAGTTGGGTATATTTGCTTAAGATTACTGAGAAGTCCAATTCCTGTTTCTCCCACTAAGATTACCAATCGGGGTCTTCAGACTTGGAAGACAGAAGAAGTTCCAGCCAATAAACTATCAATTGCATGGCAGCTCCCACAATATATCCTGGTTACAGCAGCAGAGGTCATGTTCTCTGTCACAGGACTTGAATTTTCTTATTCTCAGGTAATATTTTTATATGTAGAAATGATGACACCACTTAGAAAATAGTGAGTTTTAATTTTCACACTTTTCAAATAGGCATGTCATCTTAAGACTTCCATCTCTTTGGTTCATGAGTTTCTGATAATATGACCCTGAATAGTCATCTTGACTCCAGGATCATGAGAATGCATTTGACTCTATGTTTTGTTTAGGCTCTGAAGAAAAAAATAAGGATGAACCTGAGGGCTATAGGGTTAGACTAATCATGTTAAAATACTGACTGCATCACCTATTTTGGAATAGGAACAAGTAAATTATGTCTCTAATCCTGTTTTGCTTCCTTTTCTTTATGTTATTTTCACTATTTTTTTAAGAGTACCATATAATTCAGATTAGCTCTTAAGGTTTTGATAATAATTGTATGATATGATAAATTAAAGCATCCAATTAATTGATTTACTTTCTTCTTACTGCTCTATTATTACCATCTCATGAGCCAATGCGATTAGGTGAACTTAGTGGGGAAGATGGGAAATGTAAGTTTTTATGGACATGTTTCATGGACAGGCTCATGGGACAGGAAGGTGGAATAGGGAATTTGAATGCTTACAAATGTATCTTTCCTAGGCACCATCTAGCATGAAATCTGTGCTCCAGGCAGCCTGGTTGTTGACAGTTGCCGTTGGGAATATCATCGTGCTTGTTGTGGCTCAGTTCAGTGGCCTGGTACAGGTAAGGATCACAGGAGAACAGGAGCTCATGTCTACACAAAGTTTCCCCTCCAGCTTCCTCATCGCCCTTTTGCTTGACCTCCAGATTCCCCTTCAGTGATATGAGGGTAAGGCAACAGATTCTGCCATTTCCAACAGGAAATGGACATATGTATGTACCTATGGGAAGAGAGGGCAGTGAACCTAGTGTTCTGCCAAGACAAGTGACTCAAGTGATGGTTCCCTTGGTCATCTTCCCATTCCTCCACTGCTAAATCCCCCTTACACACTTCTTTTAGGTTTCCTCATAATTCTCTTTCATTTATCTCCCTGCAGTGGGCTGAATTCATTTTGTTTTCCTGCCTCCTGCTGGTGGTCTGCCTGATCTTCTCCATCATGGGCTACTACTATGTCCCTCTAACGCCGGAGGGTATTCACAAGCCAATGGACAAGCAGCTTCCTCATATCCAGGGGAATATGATCAACCTAGAAACCAAGAATACAAGGCTCTGATGACTCAATGGACTCATAACTGATCCCAGCTCTGGTTTCAGCCATCACTTACCTTCAAACTTAATTCCTCCACTATCAGGTTAGGAGAAGGAGATAGTATTTTATCTGAGTGAGTCTTCTCCATTTTCTACCACCATAGAGGCAATTCTAGGACTAGGTTTTCAGGTATATCTTTAAACAAGAATCCGAGAGACACAGAACAATAAGCTCACTAAACATTAGGCAATGCCTCTCAAGCTGGCCCAGTACCTCCAAATGGCTATGAAAATACAAATGGGCAATAGAGATAAGTCTCTGTGGGTATTCCAAGGTTGGGAGACTCCTTTATCGGGTATTTAGAACTGATAACTCCACTTGTTGATGTTTTGGTCTAGAAGGAAAAATGCAGAATAATAGAGGAATAGTATTTCAAGTTTCTTTATCAGTAGTATAATTGTGCTATTCATGAAGATGTCAAGAAAGGTATGTATGGTATGATCTGATCCACAGGCTAGCTTGTCAGCCTCTAGTGAGTTTAATATGATTTTAGATGGCAGGTTTTAGAATGGCATTTTGTCAGCACATGACAGACACATCTTTCTGATTACCACAGTGTTTCATCTACTTACCCAAACACCCCTTTCTCAGTACTGACAAACCACAATTAAAGAGAGTAAGCACAGATGTAGGGACACAGGAACACATAGAAATTATTTTTTGTTCTTTAGTGCACATTCCTCTAAAGAACTCTGGTGTTTCTGCCCTGGGCTGTGTGCTTCTGAGGACATCTGTCTAAGAAAGTAGCTATAACTTTGCTGCAACTCAGCCTGTTCAGTATTGCTGGGACAACTTTATCTTAATATTACATCTTATTTTGCTTATTACAGCAAATCTTCAGTAACAAAATGTTTTTCTAGTCCAGTTTCCTTTAATTTTTTTTCTGTTTAGCTTCTTGTGATGTATTTTTAGTTTTGTCATAATTTTTGTTTACATTTCTCCCTTTAGGCTTAGAAATTTCCTGTTTATTAAAAAGGGATAATTCTTCTGTCTTAGGTTTGAAGTTCTAAATGATAATATTCAACAAATGGGCAGGGTTCTATGAGAAATCTATCAAAATCTGCAGGGATGGGCAGAGCATAGACTTTCTGGTTGTCTATATGAACAAAAAGTGTCAGGAAACAGTATCTCACATGCAATGTACAGATCAAGGCACAAGATTGGGAATATCAGGACTGTGTCATGTGTCACTAGGAGATAAGAATCACTACCCCTGTATGAAAGACCTCTTTTCCACTCCTTTTACAACTTTGTTCCCATCTACAGCCATGCTGGATTGCATATTGTTAATAATGTAATATAAACTTAAGATAATTTGTTCCAGTTCCTCAAGCTTCGAATACTGTTGCTTTAATGACTAAGATTTCATAAACACAGAAGGGGTCGCAGCACCATCCATCTTCCCCAGATACCTTGTTGTGAACCTGTCCATACACTTTGAGAAGATGTTCATTTTTAAGCAGTTTTAACTCAAACTATTTTTATGAATTTTGTTTTAAGAGATATTAACACTGATCTGTGAATAAAAGTTTTTATGTATCAGTAAATTTGGGAAATATGATATATTATAATCTTCTAGATATTATATATGTGTGTGTTAAAGAGTCTGAATATCCTCAGGGAAGTTTTAATGTCTTTGAATTATCTTAACATGTGATAGTTTCTTCAGAACAGTGGTTTCAGAAAAACCCTTATGCTGGCTAATGGCTTCATCCACAAAGCTTCCTGCTCAGTGGTAGAACACTTGTTAGTGTGCACAAGGCCCTGGATCTGATCCCCAGCACCACAAGCAAGCAGACAAACCAACAACTGTCTTAGGACACTGGTTCTGTTCTTTGCTACAAGTGAAGATGAACACAGCTTTCTCTTTGGGGTCTTTGGGAGAGCACACTTTCAGTATGAATTCCACTAATGATCATCAAGCTAAATGTTCTCTGTTCTTGTAACATTCCTCACAAAGCACAGCTCTGTCTTTCACCACGACAGCTTCTTTCTTCTATAAATAATTCTTTGTCTAAAATATGTGATGCCTAGAGGCAACTACAACATTCCAGAAGTCCTCTGACTGGCAAGGTTAGTACCATCCACTAAACAAAGCATTTTTGTTAAACCAGGTAAGGTAATACTTGATGTTTTCTAAAGTTATATCACTGTGTGAGATAACTTCAAAGTTTTATTTCAAAAAATTCTATTATTCATATTTTGAGTTTTTCTATGTGCCATTCATTGAATTAGCTGAGGGGGGGAAACAAAAAATTAACAACCCACTATATATATGTTCAATAAGGGCAATGAGATAGAGAAATAAATATCTCTATAAGGAGTACAAGAGATATAAGACTTGTTTAGAGGATCTAGGGACCAAATATTGTGGGGCCTTGAGACCATGGGGGTTAGAGGAATGGCTCAGTGGCTAAAGTATTTGTTGTGATAGTATGATGACCTGTGTTTGGATTCCCAGAACCCACATAAAAGTTGGGCATGACAACACAGTGCTAGAGGTGAGATAGGCAAACCCAAAGGGCTCATTGGCCAACCACTCCAGCCAAAATAGAGAACTTCGGGTTTAGTCATTAAGGAAAAGAGTGATAGAGGAAGACACACAATGCCTTTTACATGTGTGAGCCCACATGGATACATATACACACATTCCTTTATTGTTTTATCATCGTGTGTGTGTGTGTGTGTGTGTGTGTGTGTGCGCGCGCGCGCGCGCGATGGATGTTGGATGCCCTTTTTCATCACACTCCACTTTATTCCCTTGAGTCAGGGTCTCTCACTAAACCTGGAGCTAGGCTGGTGGCCAGTAAGCCCCAGGAATCCTCCCATCTCTATCCCCATGCCACAGCAATGGGGTTACAGGCATGCACATGATTATGGCCGGCTTTTTACATGGGTTCTAGGGATATAAATTCAGATTCTCATGCTTGCATGCTAAACATGCTTAAACACTGAGACATTTCCCAAGCCCCCAATTTCCCTTTTGAATAAAGTGGAATAAAATATTAAAACCTCTAAAGCTTTACATTTATAATTCAAAATCAACAGCAGAGCATTACTAGATTTAAAAACTCTATTTTTGAAAACATTTATAAACAAATGAACAACAGTAAAAAAGCACACAAACAGAGAACTTTAAGCTCAGATAGGGAATGACAAATTACTCCATCTCAAAGCTGGCCCCAACTGCTGCATAATGGCTTCTTGAAGAACTCCGTTGTAGTGATTCTGAGGCTTTGAACAAACTCAGCAGGAAAAAAATAACAAATAACCCAGAGCACAGGGGAGTAGACTGTCCTGGCTATGCTCAACTATTTTTATCTTCTCCCTACATCCTCTAACTTCTTCCACCCAGCTACAATAACTTTTTATCATTTCCCCAAAACACTATTGTTCTCACTGCAAATCTCAGTGTTTTTGTAATTCCTTTCTTTCATTGTCTACATGGCTCTTGCCTGAATTACCTCAAATGAGACTCTTCCTCTTCTTCCTGATGTTTCCTAACCACCATTCATACCACTCTGGAGCATATACCAACCTCCTTTGCTTTAGAAATGCCATGTGTGTATACTATCTGTTGTGTGAGCCTCCATGTCTCAAATTGGGTGATAACCTTGTTGAAAACAGTGAAAAAATATTAAGTCGCATGCTGTTTTGTAGTTTGACCCACAAATGACTCACAGATGGGAGAATTTCTCTTCATTATAAAAATGAGTTGTGTCCAGGAGAAGCTGGAAAGGTGCAGTCTGGGTACCATGCCTATCTTTGTGTGCTTGTTAAGAACTGACTTGTGCCAAAGACTCACCAAGAGCCCAGTTAGCAGGACAGTGACCTGAACCTGGGGACTTCACCAGCACAGTACATGAATTTCTAGAATATTCTAACTATTGTCTAAAGACATCTACTTTCAAACTCCAAGACAGTTCAACCATCCAGCCTCTTCAGACTCCTTATCTTTGTGTTACCTGACATTGTTTGAGAGTCACCTGACATTCTTCACTGGGGTCACCAGCACTTACTGCATTCCTCTTAGTTCAGCTGCCACAGAGAACACCACGGACACTGATTCAGGTAAGGGCTATTCTACAGAAGTGTTCTTGTTTTGCTTGAAAAATCCACCTTTGTGACAAAAGTAAGCCACTGGGCAAGAAAGTGCCTCGACTGTTGACGATGTGCTGTCCAAATTCCAGGCAAGCTTTATTAAATCATAAACAATGTATCACCATAATCCACATTGACCAATTACAGAAACTCATACAGACTGTGAGTCACTGGTAGTCAGCCCACACAACCAATTGTTTTCTGAAAGCCAAGGTAAAGGCGGCCACATTTAACTTGACCCTTTGACTTACAACTTTTTAGTGTATAGCTGACTCGAACTATTCATAATTACTGTTTAATTCTGTATTTCTCCAAAGTGTGTACCAAGATACTATGGAACACTGTGATAGTACCAGGCATACTTCCAATTTTCTAAAACAGCAAAATTGTTTGTGTATTATATAAACTATCTCAAGAGTTAACAGTTTCAACATTAAGTAAGGTTATTTTCTTGTCAATGATTCATCATTACAGAACTGCAAGGGCCAAACAAAACAAATCATTGTCTGACCTGAATCTAGAATTAGAAAGTTTGTTCCACAGTCAACATAGTAACATAGTCACATAGTAACTAACTGCCATTATTTAAGAATGAAATAAAAATATTGTTTTGCCTTTCAGTTTATGTGTATTTTTCCCACATAGCTATCAAGTTCTTAGCACATACTTATTCAATTGTTTGGACTTAGAAAATAGGGTGGTTTATTAATTTTTTGAACTAGGACATAAATAATTGGCATTGATATATCAGAAGATACAAACAAGTTTGGGAAACTTTAGTGTGGTCCCACTAGCGATTAAAAGTTTAGATAGATAAAAAGCTTTGTATTTAATATTGTTGACATTTGCTTTGGGATGATGCAACACTTTTAAGAGAAAGAAAAAAAATGGAGTGGAAGCAATGTGGATGGGAGGAAGCTGCAGCAGGAACAGTCTATGACTAACTGAGCCCCTGCTGAGCTCTAGGATTTATGCTAAACACTTTACCTCTGATAAGCAGAGGTAAAGTGGGACTTATGTCATCATGCTTGCTGTGGCATATTCTGGATTTCTTCTGCTCTGATTAGTAAATAGCCATTTCCCAAAGCCCCAAACATTTCCTCACTACCCTGGCAGTCTAGGGCCGTCCACTGCCAGGC